CCATCTTTCATAAGATTGACCTTGTTAGCGCGCATCACCAAATCCCAATTGCACATGAAGCCGTTGCCAAAATGGGCGTTATCACGCTTTGAGATAGTACTAGTTCATCCGTTTGCCTTTTGGCCTCAACAACGCTGCGCAGTCTTTACAGCGTTTCATGCACCAGGTCCTTCGTGGCCTAGACTTCGGTTTCGTCTATATCGACAACGTCCTGATAGCTAATGCCACAACAGTAGAGCACTTAAAACGCCCAAAAGCTTTCGCGCGTTTCGCCCACAAGGGAATCACCAGTACCCCTGATAAATGTGTGTTCGGTCAATTTGTTCGGTCACTTTTGTTGGCCAGAGAATCGAGATTAAAGGCATCGGTCCCATTCCTGAGAACACCCAGGCAATCATGAACTATCCACCACCTAAATCTGTTGAAAACCTACGCCGTTTCCTCGGCATGGTCAATGACTATGGAAGATTCATCCTAACTGTGCTGACATGATTCAACCACTGACTGATTAGCTTAAAGGTAACCCGAAAAAGTTTACGCTTACACTGGAAACCGAAGCTGCATTTCTTGCCATCAAACAGAAGCTAAGCCAAGTAACTTAGCTGATCTACTTGAAAACGGATGAGTATATCACTCTCATTCTTAAAATCGATGCTTCAAAATCCGTCGTGGGAGTAATTTTACAGCAACTGATCGGCAATAATCTTACCCATTGTCTTTGTTTTCTCGGGAGAGTCAGCCAGCACAGACCCGATGTAGCATCTTCGGTCGCGAACTGCTCGCAATCCACTTGACCGTCAAATATTTGCGTCATGTCCTTGAAGGACGACGTTTTGTAATCTTGACTTACGACAAGTCTCTCGTCTACGCCCTTCGGTCCGCTTCCGACTGGTATTCCCCGCAAACAACACGGCACTTGGATTACCTCTCGAATTCTGTACCGACATTCGCCATTTCGGCAGTCCCAAAAATGTTGTTGCTGATGAACTATCTCGTGCTCATGTTCACTATCTTTCCCCCTCACCCGGTAGGCTTGAGGACATCACAGTTGACCAGGCGATGGATCCAGGACTTGCACAATTTCGAGCAAACGCCTCACTGAAATTCCTACAACTGCCTGTGTTAAATGCAGACGCAAGAATTTACTGTGATGTTTCCACCGGTATGCCAATTCCGTTTGTTCCGTAGTCTTTCCGGCGTACCCTGTTTGACCACATTTATGGACTATCGCACCAAAGCATTCGATCCACTGTGAAGTTAAACACCGTTCGTTACATTTGGCCTAATATGCGAGGGGACATCCGGCAATGGGCTAAGGGTTGTCTCAGCTGTCAGAGCAGTAAAGTTCATCGACATATCGTCACTGCCCCCGGAACTCTCTGACTCCCTGACGCACGGTTTAGACATGTTCACTTGGACTTAATTGGATCTCTCCCTCTATCTAACGTTTTTACCTTTATGCTTAAGTGTGCGAATTGTTTCACTCGTTGATCACACACAATTCTTTTACGTGACAACTACTGAAACTGCGGCTAGTACAATTTTCGATTCATGGATTTCTCTTTCCGACATACCAGCTAAGCTTACTACCGTTAGGGTATCACAACATAGCTCCAGATTGTACCGTGACTTGGATCGCTTATTGTACTCACATTCGAACAACCGCTTATCATCCCGCTGCAAGTGGTCTTGGCGAACGTTTTCATCGACAGCTAAAAGTCGCCACCACAGCCAGCTCACCTGACACACATTGGTCTGCGCGCATTCCAGCTGTTCTTCTTGGTCTTCGTATTACCGTCGGAGAGGATATTGGATGTGGCCCTGCCGAACTTGTCTTTGGTACGTCTCTCAGACTACAGGGTGAGATAACATTGAATTCCCAAGCCACTGGAGAATTTGACCCTGTTTCTTACGCTGAACGCCGTAAGCAGCACTTTCGAGCCATTCAACCTACTTCTTCTCGAATCACGGCGCACAAGCAACGAATTCATCCCCATTTGCACGCTTATCCGTTTGTTTTCATACGCACTGTTACAGTTCGAAAGCCGCTAACACCTCCCTATGAAGGCCCCTACAAGGTGTTGTCTCGAAAGCCCAAATACTTTATCCTGCAGAAGAATGGATCAAAGGAATCCTTGAGTACTAACCGCCATTAACCTGTCTATGTTGTGCTTTACGTTGAACGTTCAGACAAAGTTACGGTGACTGATCCCTGGTTGTTGCCTCAGTTATTCAACCAACCGATGTTAATGCATCAGCACCTTCTTGCACTCGCTCAACCATTGATTCTAGACACACACGCACACACACACGTTCAGTCCGTTTTGTTTCCTCCCCACTAAACTAGCCGGATTCGTTCCTTAAACAGGTTTATCAAGCGTTGCCTTACCATTTAACGTTCTACGATGAGTTATGTAGGAGTTATGCTCATATTATTATATCACGTAATCATTTTTATCACGTTACTCATTGGCGCAGTTTGTCTGAATTGACGAAAAACTGCTAGAATATGTTTCTTTGAAATTCGCGCTCCCTTCGTACTGATTTCCGGCTTTGCTGCCGGTTTTGTTTATGCTGCATTCGAGTGTGCTTGGTAGCCGCATACCTACTGTGAAACTTTGTTTGAACGTCTGCTGACTTTGGGTTCGACTTGCTCGACAAGTAGCTCGCTCACCGTAACCGGAACTTAATTGTGACTTGACTGTGAGTTATTCTTTCCTTAAGTTTTGCTTTTCCTAAGGGACTTAAGCCTTTCCGTATTTCGCAGACCACTACAAGGGAATGTAAGTCATCTTGAGTGAGCAGTAACCTACCGAGAACTTCGTTATGCCAAACCTTATAGCCGATCTTGATATCGTCAGCCAATAAAAATGACCAGGCATATTGTACGGATGTGGTGATGTCACTGATGTAGAACAGAAGCAGTGGATTACCGAGCACACTCATGTGGATGACCTTATTAGTGATGGGTGATGGAGAAGAGCGATAACCATCTAACGTGACTACCTGATGACGATCAGTCAGGCGTGACAATAGCCATCCTAATGATGGGTGCCGGGTCGCAAAGGTCTCCAACTTTTATAACAACCGCTTGTGAGGTACTTGGTCGAATGCTTGGTGTATGTCCAGGAACAGAATTACTAATACATATCCGGAATCAATTGATTTTGAAAGTTATCTCAGGTAATGCCATAAACAGGTGGTGCATCATCTCTTGTCAAGGAAACCATGCTGCGATTTATTTCTCAGGTCAAACGAATTGACAAAGTTCATCACCTCCTTTCTGACCAGTTTTTCAACTGACCGAACGAATAATGGAGTGCAGTCGATTGGTTAGTAGTTGTCAATCGTTCGTTTGGAACTCCCTTTGCACAAGAAGCATAAAAATGGAGTTTTTCGTTGGTCTGAATAGTAGCTAGATTTCAGCGACAATGTAAATATGCTTTACAGGAGCAGTCGTATACCTGGCCCTCCTGGTTTGATGGTGGTTGGTAAAATGTTGTCAGTGCTGAAAAATGACTACATGTTGAAGTCATTCGGTTAACCAATGATACCTAACTTCTTTACAACTTGATTAAGCCTCGTAGCTCTACTGAGACGTGCGCTGCATCGTTGCACTCATAGTTAACATACCACCAGCGTCGTTTTACAGCTGGTAAACGTGACCCTTTTTATCGGCAAATTGAAAGTTGCTTCTGTAATCAACCCGAGTTCTGTGCACGCACTTATGACTGCTACTACAAACGCGGCAAAATGCACGGTAGCTAGGTAAATGATCCATGACTGCAAGAAACACATCATCTGATCAATAATATTTTCTCCGTCATCCATTTCACCAACGAAGAGGAGAACAATGACCAGATGCCATTCTTGCACGTGCACGTGAACAGACATGCTTCCGGGCCCGTGGAAACAACAGTCTAATGAAAGGTGATGCATACTGATCAGATCTTGAACTATCGCAGTAACCATCCGGCTAATTGCAAGCGCAGTTGCGTGAGGACGCTTTTCAAATGGGCCTAACCACACTGAAGCATGCTGCGGCTAAGGAACTCGGAGGAAGACCACCTATATAACATGTTTCAGCGGAACCCGTACCTTAAATGTTTTATTCTACGCTGTTTAAAGTCGAAAAATAGGCCACAACCCTCTTCCGCAAGCGCAACGGAAAGGAAAACCGTCGTCCTACCTTAGATCCATGAAATCTCTGAGATGGGAGCGAGGATGTCAATGCCTCACGGGATCAACGTTGTACATTAAGCAACGGAAACAGTGCGGAGTAAACTTTTCAGGGTAAAATACCAACTGAATAGAGAAGGGACTTCAGGTGTGATTTGCCAAATTTTCTGCAAAAATTGTATGCCGTACTACGTGGGTTAGACAGGGAGGAAACTTGGTACAAGGTTGCATGAACACAGTCTGGCCATCCGCCGCCATGGTGAAAAATCGCTAATGTCAGTAGATATGGATGCCGAAATCTATCAGTTCGATCTGGGGAACGTCCAGATACTTGAAAGGACAAAGAACCGCACAGCGCGTAGGTTCATCGAGGCCTGGCATTCCGGCCGGAATTCAGTCAACAAACACCCAGAACTAGAGGGGATCTACGAAACTCTGCAGGTCAACAATAAGTACCAGATCGACAGGGCGTAAACTTGACCATCTGGCGGACCCGCGTAAGTCAATCGAAGACACATTCAATGCGGGCGAAGTTCAAGTCACTTGGATCTGGCAGTGGCTTACGAGACTGCAATTCAGACCTCTATAGCCGCAATGAGGATGTTGTCTATTTTGACGACGAAACATCTGCAACAAAATTACCTAGCTCAGAGAAGACAAAAATCCTCTCAAAAGTTCCATCATCATATCCTACGCCAGAGTATGGAAGCAGAAAAATTTGGCACTGAGAACAACTTTCACGGAAGGATGCGGTGACGATCATACTATGTACAAGTATGGAGGTTAGATATTAGATAAGGCCGTGTTCTTTATCTTGAGTGTCAATGGTGTAACAAAGCACGAATCAACTGCTGTCGCATAACGTCGTTTATTGGACCATGCACGGTGTATCCCCCAGTGCTACTTGGCAACCGTTTAACTTGATGGAAATGACAGGAGCACGGAGCGTAGGCTTCAAAGTGTTCCAGCCTTGACCAAGTTAATCGATATGTTCGCAACACTTTCCAACCATAACTTTCAGCAGATTTAATAAGTGCATCATTCTCGGCAGTCAGCCGTTGTCTTCTATGCTGAAAATAAAAGAGAAGAGGACTAACTTTACAGTCAATATCTAACTTGTGGCAGGACATGGTTATCAAAATCCTGATCTACAACTGCTTTCATATAATCTTGTTTTTTGCATTCCTTTTTAGTTGCCTATATTGTGGTTGACGAGTACACACGAAGTGACAATGCCATCCCACAATTTTCGTCTTCTGATATCCTTATTTGGTATGTAAGTTAACCCGACTGTTAAGGCGGTTGGTAAATTAGAACTGTATCGTTTATTGTTAGGTATCGAGGCACGGGGACCTAAGTAGGGCAGCCCAGTTTGCTTAGTGCATCGTAGTGGGTAGGTGGAATCAGCCTTTAGCAGAAAACTTAAATTCTGATCTAACGATGGCCACCTTATACCCTAATTGTTAACAAAAGAGCTCAGTGGTTCATTTTTATCGCTGAGATTCAAGTTATGTTTCCGTATTTACCGCATCCTTAGAATGCATGCAGACACATTACAATAAATTCAAATTACCTTGTACAGTCTAAATCTATTTGTTTGTTCGTGTTCTGTCACTGGAAAGTGGGGAATAAGATTTGCTGATGACACAGTTGGTCACACAGCTACGCAGGCAATAAATATTGGCTGTAGGATGCCAAAACCAGTGCTGCAATCACTAACTGGGTCTTCCGCAAAATCTAGCTTGGAAAACCGTCCTCCATTCACCGCTCAATGGCCTAACGAAAAAGCTGCCTTGTCAAGTTGCACGTTGGTAGTCTCAATTGCGCAACACTGTGTACTTGTCTACTTTCTTTAAGTTGTGTTTAGCTGAACAAAATAAGACCAGGAACATTAACGAAAAAGCACATTGTGCAAGTGTCCCATCGATACCAAAATTTGATGACAGTTTAAGTGTCTAAGGAAAGCACAAAGCTATGGGTTACTTTCAATCGAAGCGAAACCCAAGAGTGAAAACTATTCCTTAAACTCAACAGGTAAAACCGTCTGGGTACTCACAAAATAATTTAGTGGGATCTATCAACTGTAGGGATATAGACATGATTACGGCAGCACGTAGAGTAGTTTCTCACTCACCCATATCAAGTAGGGCACACCCGTGATGGGTGAATGAAACCCAGCAGAATGGTCCTTTATGATGACACTAATTGACTTCCATTTCGGTCTTTTGGCCTTTCTAAATTTGGGGTAGACATGCAGTTCGGATAAACTGGGAAACTAAAACAATACCATTGCCTTGAAATGATGATTACCGAAGAATATTGCTAACGGCTAAACTGGATGTAACAAAGTTTCATGGCAACACTGACTGAATTGCATAGGACATCTAGACACATGGAGAGATTCGTGTCAAACAACTTTTATCACCAGCAAAGTTGACAATCTGAGGCATGAGTGACACGATGTATCGATCCTAACCGCTACCTTCAGTTCCGATTTGTCGCGGTTATTCCAGCAATCCTGCCTCCAAAAACGTTTGAATAATTTAGAACAAACAAACGCAGTTTCCTCGGAAACAATTCACGTTATCGAGCTGATATATCAGAACGTGTAATGAACTGGGAACATCTACTCTTTCACTACTTTGTAAAATTGGATTCTATCGGTCTTTGTACCCTCCAAGCTTCTGTTTAGCTGGTGTGTATCATTCCTTATCACCCACGCAACGCCGCTGAGTCGCGTGCCAATTGCCACCTGCTCCTGCTTATCTGATCCCTGTTCCTTGTAACTCTTTTATATTTTGGATTGGTCGCTCAGACTATTCTCCATGTACAGAACTTTTTGCAATTTGCGGTAGTCTGATTCCTCTTCTTTACGTGATTTCCTTTTATAAAACTCTACCGAAAATTACTGCGTTGATATGCACGTAGGCAATTGGTGCAGGGCATGGACAGCATGATGAAGTGGTTTATGTGCATGATCACAGATATTAAATAAATAAATAAATAAATAGTTTATTCTCGAATTTGTCGAGGCACACCAAGCAAGGCATGATCTTTCTGGGCCTCAGTTGGATTCCATCACACGACGGCGACGCAAGCTGCCCCGCTAGATTCCTCCCAGTTAGAAATGCGTGTCAACCGTATTTGCTTTTGGTGGATATGCGTGACTGCTTTACTGCCAAAACTAGATTTTGCCCTTGCATCGTCCAGTTTCTGGACGCACAATGGGGATTCCAACCGGACATATGTTGCTCATCATCATTATACACGTTGGTTAGATGTGGGAAGTACCTCAGCTACTGTGCTGCAATGTTTAAAGGAAAGAAAGGAAAATTTGAAACAGTCGCAAGCCAGCTGAGCTACCGGTAACGGATGGGCATCGTTCCGGTAAGCTACCAGCAGGCTACAAGGCAACAAAAAAGTTTGCCACGCAAAATTATATAAGGCTAAGTAGTGAGATCGTGGTTGTAGGGGGAGGGTAAGATAGATTGGACGGACAAAGAAACTCAAAGCACGAAAGTCATCGAGGTCGGCTCCTAGCCATGTCATCAAGTGTATCCAGCCAAACGACATGCCGGTCTGAAGGAGCATCGAGGGCTCTAAATGGAAGCCGATGAACTGGGCTTGACCGCTTTCTTTGACATCGGCTTGTTGACAGGACGAGAATGACGCTCCGCGTTCACATGTGTGTTGCAACTAGAAGATAAAAGCCTATCATAGCAAGATGAGGGCGGGCCAAGAATTGGGGGTTGAAAACAGGGGGATAAAAGCGAAGCTGGAACGGGACGATAAGGGTGGAAAAGCGTAAGAAAGTGAATAAGGAGACGGGAAGTTTTGGGCAGTAACATCCAAACCCTATCCATCCTGCTCGATGTAGCAGCTAGAGCACCGTTGATTATCCTGTGCGGTTGCCAGAGCATCCAGACTGTTTGATGAAAGATTCATAGTATTCCATGGGCAGGATACTGTCAGGTTGCCCAGGTCCAGACAGAAGAATGATTAGGGTACTCAACCAAAGCCTTTGGTTCAAATACCTGACTTCAAGTCTGTGGGTTTGGTTTTGGGCTACAAGGAGTCCGTTTTAAGGCATAAGGAGCCACCCTCATTCTAAACCCCAATCTGGAGAACCAGGAGACTGAAATTGTCTGGCCTCTAACTATTGACCCATCTGGTATGAGTGGGTCTGAAGGTGCAAAAGAACCACCCAGTATAGCTCAATGAATCACTGAAGCACACAAACCATCGCAACGCGGTAAGGTCCGGCACCATTGCGATCATAGATTGTGGCTCTTAGTTGAGTACTGAAACACAAATGTTAAGGATGCAGCTATAAACGCTAATATTCGGGTCTATAATGTCACCAAGCAGGAGTAGCTCAGATGAAATGCAGCCAACCAGTACCAGAGAAGCAGAAATGAGCCCGCAGGGATCGATGATCACGCAACTAATAAGCAACATCAATTCGCTACATTGTGACCTTAGACAAACGGATTATTAGCATCCAAGACCCAACTTACGGCCCTTTCAATACAGCAGACAATTCCTTGAGCATAGAATTTGTCAGCCAGTGTGCACCGCCAATGATTAAAATAAGATTCTGTGAAGAATTTGATTGACTAAAAGAGAAAATTTGTGGAGAAAAGTGAGTAGATTTATTCAAACTGAAAGGCGATGGAATCTTCATTCTGGCGAAGTTTATCATGGTGGTTATGAAGGAGAAACATAAGGTACGGTAACTGACGCTACTCTCCTAACTCTGAGGCTTCACACACTTTTTTTCCGAAAACCAAGGACAAAAGCTTCAAAAAAGCGGATGTTAGGTGTACCATCCCATCTGATATGACTGATCAAGTTTTGAAATTCCATAGTGAAGTGTACTGCGACCCCTAACTTCCGTGTTAGAGCAAAAAACCGTTGCAAAACTTATGTTGGAATTTGTGAGCATGGTGACTACTCGCACACACTTCAGAGAATATGCTGCAAACCTATCCGTCATGTGCTTATCCTAGTGCACTAAGCAAGCACTGCCGAAAATGTGCTGCACGGGGGCCTGCAGTGCAACAGAAAACATGCTCTTTCAGTATCTTGTAACATTGGATTTTATAGTTGTTTTAACCTTCAAAACGTCCATTTGTTTTACTGACTGCACATCCGTTGTCACAAACCGTTTTGGTGAGTACCTCGCTGCACGTTTCTCGCTCTGTCTGATCCGCTTCCAATTCTTGTAGCCTGCACAATACACGTTGGGTTCAGTCTCCTCCGACTTCTATACTGTCGTATTTGGCACGTCTTACGTGTCATTGCTTACCGACTAGTATCCCAGGTTCCGCCCAACAGGCCTCAACGAGGTATCGTATTTGCAATAAAGTCTAACCCAGTGACCTGTGGGCATTGGCATTCATATCTTAGTTTTGGCAGCCGCAAGCACTCGTCATCCAGTATCACTAAACTAAACAGATTCTAGTTTCATCCTCGCAATGAGTATTTTCAGTTCCCTGACATCTAAAACCGGAAGAAGAGCAATTGTTTAAATGAATAACGTTTCCACTTTTATTCGTAATTGTATGAACTCGCTCGTGAAAAACTATGAAAAATTGACTGAAACTGTCCAGCAGATGGCGAGCTTCAGGGCATTATCATCAGCATCTAACGACACCGATCTTGTTCTACAGCGAAACCCTCTGAGCTCTGTCCCTAAGACGAAGGATAAACTTAGTCTTGCTAATAGCTCAATGACAACTGCGCTACCAACTCCGACAGTTACTAACTGTTTACGCGGGCAAGCCACATGCGGCGCGGCTGCTATTAAATTATCCCTAGATACCAGGCCTGACGATTTGGTCACAACACCGGCAGTCCGGAGCCGGGTAAAATGCGCATCGATCGCCTCGATAGAAGCGCCAAACGAGACATTCCTAGGTCCATTTTCTGGACAAAGCACGAGCAATGCGACGCGACTTTCACAACATTCTTTAGTACTCGTCAAAGAATCAAAGTTACTAGCCACAGCACTAAAACCGTCAGTCGCAAAACCGAACCACAGGGCATTAACGGTCCTGTGCACTAACGTTCATGCGTCCAGAACTCGCACAATGAAGGGCAAGCTGGTAAATGCTCGCTACCAGTGGCATTCCATCTGCGATGTGATTGGTATTCGGGTTGAGCCCATTGCGCTAAGACTTGTTGTGCGTCACGCAACTTCAGTTCATGACGATGAAAGCCCGATTTCTTCGAGTAAACACTGAACTCAACTGAGGTGAAAGAGACAGCCCTTCTCTCAGCAGTTCGTCTTCGCAACTCATCGTGTGGGATACGCATACTACCAGATATTGCTTGGAAAGGGCGATCAAAGGAAATAACCATGGTGGCCCTTCTACAAACGAAAGCAAGGAAAACCAGCTTTGTTCATGTGGTGTTCCTGAACTACCTGGTTTTCCTGCAAACCGAAGCGCAACTACATGACCTGTGAGCAGAGAGGTGCTACATCCACCGAGCACTCTCTCTCTGGAACGACGTTTATCGTCAAATCACTAATGATAACTCCTTCATCTCCATACTACAAGAGCTGTTGTCAAAGAATATTGAAGGTCGTACTACACTCCGACGGAATGACAGAAGTCCTATTGAATAATTGGTCGAAGCATCCCTCCAGGTTGACCACCGAGATTTAGCTAAAGGTAGCAGGTGCATGGCCACTAGTTGTCAGTACTTCATTCGAACATGCAACCTCAGTATAATATGCGCTTCCACAATCCTGCAGGATGATGGAGACAGTAATGTGTGGTATGGTACAGCTGCCTTTCTCTGACGCTAATGCGCGCTCGAATGATGAGATATTTACCAAGCTTTAAATTTCTACAGCTATACTGGCTTATGTAAATGGTCATGGATTTTATTAAATCGCTTACTCAATGTTGAATGTGCTTGAAGTAATAGATTATAGAAACTAATGTGGTTCCTCTATTTTAACTAATTTATTTATTTATTTCAACACTATCTCCATTGCAATTATATATTCATTGAACGCTTAGCTGCTCCTGTTTACTATAAATACTTTTTATTCTGAGCTGTTTCCCAGTAAAACAAGGTCCCCTAGATAAAATCCGAGGCGGAAGAAGTCCTTGCGTCCGCGTCTCATGAGTCAAGTACAAGTTCAAATTCAAGTGGGACTGGAAAGATAGGATGAATCCCGAACGTGTTCCTTCTTCAACGGGTCGTCGAGCAAGGAGTTGATAGTGGTGCTCCGAATTCTAGATGGGTGTAAAAGGAACACCCGAAAAATACATCTTGCATTGACAACATACCTTCACAAACAGCTGACTATCATGCAAAGATAAGACGGCATCGGAGAGACAGCTTCATTGCGGCTTTCACTGCCACGTGTCATAATCAGCCATTACCCCGCACATAACACAGCACCAAACACACTGCAAACATCCAATCCGACTAGGAAACGGCAGCAGACGCGCCACTGGTGTCGACCACGAGCCAAGTCCTGTAAAGTTTCGAGCAAAGCACAAGACGAATCACGTGGACTATAGGATAGAAGGGAACCTGATTCCCACTTATCGTATTTTGACGGGAGAGATCGGCCCGTATTTGTCAGGCCTATTTAGTCCCGCTACGTTACCTAGTCTCCGCGGTCACCAACTGAAACTGCATAAACCACGGTCTGAGAGGATAAGGAAGGAAACTCGTCAGTCGCGCCGAGTTGTAGATCGTTGGAATTCGATGCAAGAGCACGCGGTTAGAGAAGCTATGGTTAGGGGTTTTGTACGTCAGCTCGATGCTCTCGGGTGGCAACATCAAACATTCCGTTTTCCCAACTGACTCAAGTTCAAGTTCAAATGAGACTGGAACGATAGGATGAATCCCGAAAGTGTTCCTTCTTGAACGGGTCGTCGATCCAGGAGTTGATAGCGGCGCTCCGAATTCTTGATGGGTGTAAAAGGAACACCCGAAAATACTCTGGTCCACCAATTTAATGCCCACGCTCTTTACATTAACTGTCCCTGCTATGTCGGTTACGTAAAGTAAGAGAGGAAGAAAATCGAATATAAAGAGTAAGGGAAATCAATTAAAATAAGAGAATAATACCAATGCTGAGGAAAAATCCAGAAAATAGATTCAAAGTATGAAGATGGGAATTAGTCAGGAAAAAGGAACCGTCTCGTGTTGCCGTCCAAGAGCATCTAGGTAACGCTCAAAACCCTTAACCGTAGCTCCCTTGACAACATTTTCTCAGAGCATGTTCAAGCGCTCGATGACTCGACGTGATAACCGTGTCTCCGCTCTAACTCAATCGGACGGCGGTTTGTCCAGCTTCATACAATGCCCACGGAGACAAGATAATCTAGCAGGACTAAATAGCCAGGACAAATCAGGGCCAACCTTCCCAGTCAAAATACGGTAGGTTAGAATTAGGTCCCCTCTAATTCTTCGATAATGCATTGAATGCATCCCCAAACTAAGTAGGCGTTCGGGGTACGTTTGTCCTCGTAACCCGACGACCAACCTAGTACCGATACTCAACACCCTTTCTAGTGCCATTTTGACCCGGACAAGACATGGTGGACAGGCCTCGACGCAATATGCTAGGTGGGGTCGCACGAACGCTAAGAAGAGCTTCATAAACACACTAGCGAGTAAGGTCCCGAAAGGACGGCGGATAAACCGCAACATCCGGAACCCTGTACTAGCCGCTTTCTTCCAGTTGTCTTCAGTGTGTAGTGTGGAACAGTGGACCACACCTAGATCAACCTGATGAGTCACGTGAGGAAGTTCACACCCATCCAGCACATAACTTGTGGAGGAATCAGACGCTCCGATACGCAGCACTGAACACTTTGCCCGGTTTATGGGCAGCAACCACAAGACAGACCATTCTCAGCGTCTATCTCGAGCCCGTTGAAGAGCCACAGGATCTCCAGGGATGTTAACAATATCCCAGAGCTTTAGGTCATCAGCAAATAAGAGCGATGGTACCTTAAGCTCCTCCGATAAGTCATTCACGTAGACTGAGAACAGCAGCGGACCAAGGACAGAGCCTTGCGGAATGCCGCTAAGGAGAGCTTGTCGAAACGAAAGACTGCTTCCATTCCGCCGTTCTGCCCGTTCAAGTCCTGTTACGGATTCTTATGGTGGTTTGGAGCAGCTGTTGCTCTCGCTGGTATTACAAAGTTGTACCGTCCTCCGAGCGCATCAACATAATATGCTATTCTCCTGTGCAAACCTTCTGTTTAGATGTGCTGATGGTTGCCCTCATAAAGCCAAGCTTACAACTTTCACCTGTGCTGAATTCAAAGCACTAGCATGCAGATCCACTGTTGTTCTGAAAGTGTTTACAGAGCTTGCCTCAATCAAATCTAAAGTTGATTTTCTTAAGAATTTTATGGATAGCGCGAATGTGGACGCTGTAACAGACTGTCCTTCTGCTGCTATCCAGACTTTGACGAAGCGTTCATCCTACGGACTCAACTGCACTCATTACCATGAACGTTGTCCAATTATGATAACTGGACTCGATAACTTCACACTCCTGAAAAATCCAGACGCAATTAATTGACGTTTCGCCCACCTGGATACCCACAAAGAGGATTCTTCTTGAAGCCCCCATCCTCGATTCGCCTCAGCCATTATGGCAGCCTTGCCCAAGATACCTGCCCAAATAACAAAGAAAATTGA